TGAACTCCGCAACCACCCTGGGGGTGGTTGCCACCCCTTCTCGGTGGTGATTTTTTTTAATATAACCTCGGATATCGATAGAAAAACTAATTTTAAGCAAAAAATCATCTATAAAGTTTTTCCAAAACTTGAATACTTTTCAAGATATTGGCAATTGAAAGTTTTTCCCGTTTTTCATCGGTTTTTTGCAAATATCTCAAAAAATTTAAGTTTTATCGAAAATTTTATTAAGAACAAAATTGTAGCAGGTAAAACAATGAACAATTTGGTTTTTTATAAAGTGTTCTAAGTGCAATATTAAGCTAGATATTAAAGATCAAAGCCGTTTTTTATTTTGTCTGAAATTTAATCGATGTGGTCAATGCCATCTAGCGGCGAGCAGATGCATTTTATGCATTCTAATACAAAAGGGTTTTGTAGTGCTTGAAATAAGCTTTAAAATGAGCACTATTAAAAGTCTTTTGCACGTAAAATAAGTGAGCTGTATTGCAAATAAGTGGAGCATCTAATGTTTTTTCTTTTAAATCAATGGGTTTCATAAGAGCCATTTCCACCAAAATTAAAATTAATCGTATTCCACCTAGAATTAACTTTATTATGAAGGGTTTGATAGATAGTATCAGTTTGGCTGCTTCAGGACCCATATTTTTCAAAAAAGTCACGATTAAAAAAAAAACCAAAATTTCAATTTTTTAAAGAACCCACTTCTTTTTCATAATATCTCAAAAATGACGACAGATAGGTATAAAAGTGTACGATTTAAAAATTTAGGTATTTTTCTAACAAACAAATTGGTTGTTTTGTTTTTTCTGTCAAAATAAAATTGACGGAGATATGATTGTTTAAAGAGCCCGTGGCAGCGCAATCACAGCCTCTCTTAAGCCCTTTAACCCTTCACCGTTTTAGAAAAAGGTTTTTTTAATATATATTGCAATGAAGGATGTTGTAGCTCTCTTAATTACCTTTACAATGGTTTTACATAAATTGTGATAGCATGAAAATTGAAGGAGTTATAGTCCAAAAACTTATCATATTTTTTTCTACTTAGTAACTGAAAATTTCGGAGTGTGAATATTTGGAGCAATGTGAAAGTACGCAGTATAATAGAGACCCACAACTATTGTAATGTGTATATATATACATAATATGGCTCATATATTTTGGGAACGTAGGCATGAATACATACCAACGTTCTTATCTTTATATATATAATTTTTCTGTGAGTGTGTATGTCACTGAACTTCTCTTAACGGCTGGACCGATTTTGATGAAATTTTTTGTGTGTGTTCAAGGGGATCTGAGAATGGTTTAGATTCACAATTTTGTCCGCTGGACAACCCCTATTTTTTTAGGGCGGAACTAAGTTCGCTGGGTCAGCTAGTATGTATATATAACACATTTCATCATTTCATCATCATCATCATCATCATCATCATTCATCCAACGGATTGGGGGTGGGTCGTAAATGACGGTTTATTAAATCCACTTAAGTCTGTAGATCCACCCGCACCACAAGAATTGCAACTGCAAAAAAGGATGTGGAGCGTCTTGCGGATGCAGAAAAGTTGGTCTGTTTTGTAATAGTACCTGTGGAACGTGCAGTGGGATAACTGCCAAAATAGCCCTCCCATTCAACCAGAAGATGTTGAATGTGACAGCGACTCCGACATTGAGTCATGAATAATAATATTATATTTTAATAGTAATAGTACAATTTCATATAATTAGTAAATATTTTATTCAATAAATAGCAATTTTTTACTCTAAATTAAATTATTTTTAAATATGTAATATATATATATATATGGGTTGAAAATGATATTAATATGAGGTAATTATGTTAGAAAATACTTTACAATTTCATCACTTACTATTAGACATGTTTTCTAGCGATAAAATGGCTCAATGACAATTTTTCCATTAAGGGGTTGTTTACACCCCTTAAAAATAATAGGCGGAGTTCAGATCATTTTCACTTTTGAAGTTAAGGGTAAGATGAGCCTAATTCCAAAATTTCATGCAAATCGGTTCACAATAAAAAAAATCGGAGGTAAGGCCGTATTTTTCGCTTCAATGACTGCACTATAATGCTGACACTTGTCATGGCTATTCGTATTTGCTATTTGTACATTTGACAGCAGTGTCTCCTTTTCATTCCCTAAAGACAATAATAAGGATAGTACTGCTATATAAACAGCAAATACCAATTAATAGCCAACGTAAAATTGGTGGAATTGTAGTGAACGCACATAAGTGCTAAGATCTCGACTTTTTTCTGTAGCTAGGTATTTAAGTATTATACTTATTATCCCGTCTGTCTTTGGTAGCGGCGGTAGTGGAGCTTAAGAGAACGTCACTAACAATTATGCCGTCCGTCCTAGTAAAGAAAGCAGTAAGAGCTCTGACGAAGTTGTTTTAACCTTGAAAGCTATTTTCTCAAAACCATGTCGGACCTCAGGAGTTATTCCCCCTTATCCCTCCATCACCTTTTCTTCAGAGGACCATGCGTGCTGGCCTGCGTTGCCACCGACTTAGTGTGGCCACTATTCCTACACGAACAAAGAAATTTGGTGACTCATTTCTTGGTCGTACTATTCGTAAGTCTATTCTACTATTCGTACTATTGGGAATTCTTTGCCCGCGCACGTGTTCCCTCCTTCCTACAATCTGAGGTCCTTTAAGAGAGGCGTGAAGAAGCATTTTTGCATGCCGATAAGATGAGGATGGTTGGTGTGGCAGTTTATAACTGCTGTACCAGCTATCTTCGCGTTTGGACTTTATCACCACTTAACATCAGGTGGAGTTAAAAAAAAACCTCTTACTGGATTCTTTACTAGTCATTGACACACCTCTATCATTACGCCACATTTGGGATTGTCAAGTTCGGAGATGAGGTCCGGAAACTATAATGACAGGTTGTCAACATTAGGCTCGCCTACAACGGTTTCCGTATGTACCTACCTTGTCTATTGATACTGTGTTCAAAATGTTAGGTAGAAGCTAGTTCGTTCTATGTTTGTCTACAACTCCCAGTCGCATGAGAGATTAAAAGATAAGTATTCTTCATCCTCTAATGAAAAGAGGCACAGACCTTCTCAAAGGATGTGCAATGGTGAAACTGAGCTATATGACCTACCACGCGGGTCCAGTGCGAAATAAGCATATACAGTTAAACCCGTTTAAGACGATTTCACAGGAACTCAACCAAAAACGCGTCTTAAGCGGAGAAGCGTATAATGCGGGATTGCGGGATAGGGAAATTTCGGATATAGGTCTTGAGATTGTACAATATTTAAGATTTATGTATGTTATAAAAAAAATAGTGTATTATTATTATTACGTTATTTAAATTAATCACTTATTTTAGTTTTTCAAAAAGATTTTGAGGCATTAGCAATCACAAGATTTTCAACATAATTTAACTTTTGCAGTGCGTCTTCGCTGTGAATCAAAGAAGTTACATAGCGTCCTAAAAAATGTAGTGTATTATTATTTATTATTACGTTATTTAAATTATTTACTTATTTTAGTTTTTCAAAAAGATTTTGAGGCATTAGCTTACAAGATTTTCAACATAATTTAACTTTTGCAATGCGTCTTCGTTTTGATTCAAAAAAGTTACATAGCGTCTTAAATCATTAACTGCTGATAACGCCTGGGCGCGTGACAAAATCGGAGTTGACTCATTTTCTTCTTGATCATTATCACTTAGGGCCTCTTCTTGAGTGACACTCATATTCTCATTGAATTTTATGCTGCCGCAAGAGGTAATATGTGTGGTGGTACGTGTTGGCGATTTAGACGTATTAAACGGGATGACGAATCGTATTAAGCGTTAAGAAATGTATGAAAACATGTCTCCAATTGCAGGGACTGACGTAAAATGGCGTATTATGCGAGAAATCGTATTAAGCGTGATCGTATTAAACGCGTTCTACTGTACAAGTTTTATAGTATGTTTATTAGTATATAGTTGTTTTGCTTCAATACCTTTCACTGCTTCGTTACGCGATCTCGATAATATTGTGTAAAGCGTAATCAGAATTTACTCTCCAGTTGTTATAATTGATCAAAGACGCCAAGTGCTGGTTTTGCCTTCCAAATAAGCGTTTTAGTGAAACTTTGCTAGGTTTTACGCGTTTATTGAAGCAATTATGATAAAGATGAGATGAGAATGTTCAAAGGTCTGCCTGTTATACAGTAGAATGGACTGAGTGTTCCAAGTCCTTGATAAGCTTGAAGTAGTGACTATACCATGATACTTCTAACATTCAACTTTTGTATATATAATTCACTAATCGCTAAATTTCTGACATTTACAGTGTGTAACAAAAGCTGGGTCGCCAGCAAAAGTTTATTGAAAACATTCAACAAAAACACATACACATAACTTTGTTTCTTAAACATGTTTCTCTACACACGCCGTCTACTGCTCACGTGGCTGTCTTACACAAAATACACAGGGATACGTTCCAAATCTACGGCCTAGGAGCAACAAATCTCAAATTTGAAGAAAGTATTCTATATTTTATGTCAAAATGGAAACGTTACATTTAAAAGTTACTCTTGGGGCGTAGGTTTGGAACGCGGCCCCCACTAGCAAGTTGATTCAAACAAAGATGTTTAGTGAAACAAAATTTTTGTGTTGACGATTTTGTTGAATGCTGTTGTGTTTTAGTTGAGTGTGTAGGGCAAAACATGCCGCTGCCTGGAGACCCGGCTAAAAGAGAAAATATGCATATCCATCGATGGTTTTCAAAACAAGTATCGTAGTAGCGTTATGATAAAGCAGTAGTGGATCACTAAATAGCTCGGTGATTATCACTTCCATCTGTGAAAAGCAATTAACGATTAGGCCTACTGGAGAAGATCGCTGTATGCAGGCGGTGTAGGAAAGATCGTTGTGCTAAACCTTGGGAAAGGTTTTCCATCAGTGGGGGTAGATAACATGATTAAATCTGATAATATTGCGTTTATTTTAAATTTATTTTCTTTTTCAGCATTCGAACCCGGAGGAGGGCGGCGGGGGTAGGCGCGGCACGAGTGATCAGTGCACAGGCGCCGGAGACATGTGGATCAGCGCCGTCGAGAGCTCTATACTCACCTGGGAGGAGGTATGGATCTCAACCACAGAACACAGAAAGCGGTCACAGAAACCGTTCAAACGACGGGACATCAAACAATCGAATCAATCAGTACTCACACCCAAGGGCAACGACGCAGAACCAAGTTTTGGTCAAGTTATGAGCATGTGCTCACACATAACTGTGGCGCGCCTGCCCTGCCCACAAGGCTTAAGTTCCTTCTAACCTTCTTCTGTGTTCTGTGATCTAAACTAATATTATACAGAGGTAAAGTTTGCTAGGTTGTAGGGGGTAATTTCTGGGTCTACTGAACCGATTTTGAAAATTCTTTTACCAATAGAAAGTCACGTCAATTGAACTAAAATTATATTGTATATTAGAACCTATAGTCTACACGCGAAGCGAGGGCGGGCCACTAGTGTGACATATGTTGTACAAGCTCACCTTGGAGAGGGCTATAAGCTGGAGCTGGCAGTCAATGTTATTATCGCCTTTCGGGAGGAGGTAACATGATGAATCGATATACATATGTAATACAAGCAACCAGGATTTAGGGTTTCTAGTAGTTGCTCTAACTGTCACCGCTTTAAAACTGATGCTGTCATTTTTGTTTGCTAAAAAGAAGACAGTGACGGCATTAGGTTTTAACGAAGACTTACTTTAGTCCGCGTTTTGGAATAAGGCGGTCAATGTTCTACTTGTTAAGAGTTCGATAATCGATGTTAATAAAAGTTGGCGAAAGTCCCTTTGATATTGACAGCTTTTCATGACAGTAATAAAATTAATGTCTTTACTGACCTATACTAGGTTCAGTGCACTACTAAGCTGACTTATTCAGTTTTGAAATGTTAACATCAAACCAAACACCTTCATGAACTTTAATTTTTATGAACAATTGGTATTAAGTAGATTTTAACTACCACCACCACTCTACATGGGAGATGAAGTCATAGACGATCGGCAATAGCTTTCTATCACAAATCACAATCGTGACTTCTATAGTTTATCGACAAAGGCGTCACTCAAGCATAAATATTATGATTTCTGTGATAGGTGTATTAAAAATTCAATTAACCAAACTCTATATTCTTCAATAGATATTAAAACCTGACTTAGATAGCCATAAAGTGTATAGTCGTTTAAAAAAAAGTAAGAAGGCTACAAATGTTTTGCTCGGATTGGATTTACTACGGTACTTTTCAATGCACTATAATCTTGACTACACTTACTCGTATATCTATATTATGCCAGCTCTTAAGGAATAGCATTCTTTTTCATATTTACATCAAATTGAAATCTGTGCGGCCGGAGGCGACTATTATGCGTGTAGTCAGAAGGAAGATACGTGCGTTTGATAGCTAACTACATACTTATTTGCTATATTTATCATCAGTGAGCGGTATAATCTTGTACGATTACCAACAATCGACTATCTTCGGCGTAAATTTTATATTATAATGCGTAAAGAATAAATATTACCTACGTTATTAGATTTCATATTCGCGTGCAACCAAACTTTTCGTTAGGTATTCTGCTTCTTAGTGCGAGCAAAGACCCTGAATAGAAGTCACACATGCCATGCATGACTTGCATTGCATGTGAATATGAACTTTCTTTTCTGTAAACTGTTCTTTTCTCTTACGCATTGCTCAATCTGTTCTTACGATCGCCTTATTAAAGGTGGCCACTCACCATCATGCCGCTTAGTCGAATGAGCATTTTCGACCATTCGTCAAGTGGCATAGCTTTCCAAAATGTCTTCTCATACACGGTCAGTTGACAGGATGGCGAGTGGCAAATTGTTTATTCAAAAAACGTGGAAATTATTAATTCAACGCTATTTATACTATTAATAACATAGATCCATATGTTCTATGACAAAAGGAAATCCAAAATATTTGATTTTCGAAATAAAAAACATAGATGATTCTCTCTCAAACACTCTCCTTTACAAAATATTGTTTAATCCTAAGACCCCGTCCTATCTTAAGGAATGTTTTAATTACCTTCACACCTCTAACACGTTATCCCTTAGGTCATCAGAAAATCTTACTGTCATGACTCCTGTACACGGTACAACATTTTATAGCCATTCGTTTGCAGTACGAGCCATACATCTGTAGAATTCTCTCCCAGTTACCATACGACGTGCAAAATCTATTCACGCTTTTAAAACCTTGTAAAGTCCCATTATATGTACTTATAGAACTTTTGGTTTCTATCTTATTTGTGACTACTACCAACTGAACTAGATTTGTTTATTTATATGTATGTATGTATTTATTTAATATATATTTATATTTATGTATGTATATATTATTGCCTATATTACTCAAGTGATTTACGCCTCCGTCTCTCCCACTTCCTTCTAGCCCTCTCCATCCAAAGGTTGCCTGGAAGACATCGCTCTCAGCGATAAGGCCACCCATTGTTACACTAATTTTAAATGGTTATGTACTAAATGTTATGTTATCTGTGGTGTACAATAAAGTGTTTTGTATTGTATTGTATGATATATTTCAAATACCTAAAACCTTAAATAAGCCGCTTGTTATGTAAGTATATCTAAAGTACTTTTTACTGGCGTTTCAAAGGAAAGTGAACAAGGCCCGCTTCATTAATGTCTTCATGAATAAAGATTCCTTCATCAAACGATAATATTCGACGCGTGAAAGGAACACGATCTTAAAATAAAACAGTGATATGCAAATTATGCATCATTCTGTAAGAATAACATTGATTGATTTTCCATAAAACCCTCAAGTGTTTTTATAAACAAGTGTTAAAGGAAAATTGATCTGATTCCAAGTATCGGAGCCACTTGGGGATAGTGTAAATTTCTCGGTAAGTGAAGATTTGAAATGTTGGATATTGGCAATGAAAAGTGCGTGAGGGCCACTCGCAATCGCAATGAATTGTGTTTTTTTTTCATAACAAAACGCAAATCGAAAATTTATACTTGATTTTATATTTAACGACCATCGTGGCAGAGTGGTTGTACGCCGGGTTTCATGGTGTCGCTGACTTGAGAGGTGCCGGTGGGGGGCAGATGTCTATGTGATGAATACGAGCATTTGTTCTCCAGTCATGGATGTTTAATATTTATTTCTATATAAACATACTTTAATATGTACTGTATATGTATTGTATGCGTTACCCTAGCATCCCATAACACAAGCCTTGCAGTGCTTACTTTGGGGCTAGACTAATTTGTGCGAGTGTAGGAATTATTTATTTATTTATGTCACTGAATGGAGAAAATAGAGCGACTTACTTACGCCTTTCGATGCACAGAGGAGCTCGAGATAATAAGTTTTTGGTCACCCATCCAATGACCGACCATTGCGAAAGTTGCTTAACTTCCACGATCACAAGAACGCGCTAACCACCTGCGCCATCGAGCTCCCGCACTGACGTTAATGATAACGTTAACGTTAATGCACTTACAGGTAATTTAATACCGGATGTTTATCATCAGGTGGCAGACCGGCTGAAGGTAGACGTGCGCCGCGGGCTGTCATGGCGCGAGGCCAACGACCGCATCAACTTCGTCGGCGCCAACGAGTTCCAGGTCAAGGAGGAGGACCCCCTGTGGAAGAAGTACATCGAGCAGTTCCAGAACCCCCTCATACTGCTGCTACTCGGTGAGATTCTGAAGGGAATTCATGAAAGAGTTTCTTTTAGTTTATTATATTTATTTTAAGCATTAAACTGCTAGATGTTGAAATGTAAAGAACATTTTACTAGTAAAAAATCCACGCGGTCTAGGCAGCAGATGTGACTGGAACTGAACCCTCCGCTGTCCGGGCGGATGCACTCAAATGTTTAATACCCGTAAAAGTGCTACCTTTGACATTGTAGGTTACCTAGAATGTTACGCGGTAGAATTCCAAAACGGGGATCCCGCGGTTTCGTACTAAGCAGCTTAGAGGGTATTCGCAGGGGTTTTTTAGGGGATATTATGCCGTAAAGCGCCCGTAAGAATTACGGGGTCCTCAGTGGGCAGCCACTGTGGGGGCTCGCAAGGTTTGCGGGACCCAGGTGTGAGGTCCTTCGGCGGTGTGCCTCTTAAAGGCGCCGTCGTCTGTAAACAGAGTTTTTGCCTGCGTCACAAAAAAAAAGGTTACCTAGAATGCTGATAATAAAGAAATGGCGCTGCTCTGCAGCCTACGAATACAAGAAGAGTAACTTTTGTATTACAAACGCCTTGCATTAATCATCATCATCAGCCTATTAATGTCCCCACTGCTGGGACACAGGCCTTCCCTATGGATGGATTAGGGAGATTGGGCCATGACCCACCACGCGGGCCCAGTGCGGGTTAGTGGGTGCTAACGACTGCAGATGCAGCCGGGACCAACGGCTTAACGTGCCTTCCGAAGCACGGAGGAGCTCGAGATCTTAAATATTGGTCACCCATCCAATAACCGACCACTGCGAAAGTTGCTCAACTTCAACGACCGCAGCCGAACGCGCTAGCCACCTGCGCCATCGAGCTCCTCATTTACAATGGAGCTCCTCCTTGCATTAAACTCTGGTAGAAATACTCCCTGCGAAAAAGTAGTGTTTTCTCAGAGGAATACTCCAGTTCTTCTCTGTGTCCTTTCTTCATGTTCATTATTTATGACCATTTAATATTTGTATACCGTATATGAACCAGGAACAAGTAACAAGTAATGATGAGGCCTGCTCCAGTGGGTATGCTATGCATATGCATTATGTGTGTGTATACATATATACGAGTACATAGGTTATAGTTATTTATGCAACTGTTGTATAATGAGAGGAGCTCGATGGCGCAGGTGGTTAGCATGTTCGGCTGAGATCGTTGAAGTTAAGCAACTTTCGTAGTGGTCGGTCATTGAATGGGTAACCAAAAATCTTTTATCTCGAGTTCCTTCGTGCTTCGGAAGGCACGTTAAGTTGGTTCCGGCTGCATTTGCAGTCGTTAGCACCCGTCAATCAACATTGGGCCCGCGTGGTGAGTCATGGCCAAATCTCACTATTCCATCCTTAGGGAAGGCCTGCGCCCAAGCAGTGGGGATTTTAATAGGCTGACGATGATGATGATGATAATGTAGATGTATAATGAGGGCTATTAAAATACGAATGTGGGTTTAAATTAGTGCATCGGTTGCCTAAACATTATTTTTATAGTAGCTTGCTTTTATAATAGGTTTAATTACAAAGAGGTAAGCTAATAAAAGCGTTTGTAAAAATAATACTGTCCACAACGATAAAAACCTTTTTTAATTACCTTGACTGTCCATAACTTAAAAAGGTCCTGGGAGAAAATACACTCGGTTCAATGAGACTCTTTAAGTGCCCTTTCACATTTTTTGCAAAGAATCGTAATTTTTGAGCGCCTCGTTTAGAAAAGATTTTGACTAATTCCAATTGAAGTAAACATTGGAATTATTCTTCCTATTGTAAGTTAATGTAGAATATTTGCAAATACTATTTTCCCTTTTTTGTACTGATCGTTTTACTGCAGCTAGTTTACGGAAAAAACGATAATATGCACAACTTCAAACGCCTCAATCTCTCAATAATATTCAATAAATTAGACCAAATTAATTACTACGACATCAGAAATATGTTTTTGTTGTAACGTAATGTATTAGAATTTTGATTTTCCATCTCATTCATTATCAAAAAAAAAACATCTAGGTAACCTCCGTGAGTTTTCCCAAAATATAATGCAGGTTTACCTCGTATTTTGATATTGATTTTTAATAGAATTACTATCAAAAACTTTCATAAAACTAATCTACCGTCATTAAACTAGTGAAATATGTATATATTTTTATAATTAGTTCATTAATAATTATTTTATAAGACTCGAAACATCACCCGTAAAATGCAATTTATACTAGTGCAAATCTACCTATGCGCCGATCAGTACGGCAGCGGCGCAAATTTGTAAAAGGGCTCATTTAATAAAAAAATTCAATGACATCCTTATCCTAATTAAGTCTCGAATACCCAATTTCCCATCTATTTAACAGCCAGACCGTTCTGATTAACAAGGGCACCTGTGTTGCTGATTATGTTGTTTAACGTAATTCTGGCTAGCATTTTGAACATGCAATAAATTCTATAACAAATTTCATTATTATAGATGGTTTGTTCGTACTTCTAAAAACTTCTGACATTAAGAGTAGGGCCCCAGGTTCAATTACTTTGCACAGGTTGACCCTCAATAAATTATTCAGTCCTTCGCCGGTCGATAGGTACTTATAATCTAGTATCATTAGATATGCGTCCGCAATGATGATTTTAGTTATAAATTGACTTGCGTGCCCCGAATAATTGTACGGTTGTCCATTGTGCTTGATCGAGTAGTAATACTTTTTGAAGAGACATTTGGTGTCACCGCTATTTTATCTTTGAAATCTGATTTATGATGGATAAAAAAAAACGGGCCAAGTGCGAGTCGGAATTTTTCCTTTATCTGTACTATAACACGTTACTTCGAACCAAATTTCAAGATTCTAAGTTCACGGGAAGTATCCTGTAGGTTTTGATTCCCGTGCGAGTTTCGAAAATTTTGCGGAAATTTGCGGCATAAACGGCTGTATCTTTTGATTGCTTTGGCTTAGAAATTTGATTTTTTTCACAGCTCCAAGGAACACTATACCTGAGTATTAGATATGAATTTCAGTTTGATACCTCCACGCGTTCCTGAGAAAAACGGTCTTGACAGACGGGCAGACGGACAACAAAGTGATCCTAAAAGGGTTCCGTTTTTCCTTTTGAGGTGCGGAACCCTAAAAATCGACGCGGTAGCAGCAGACGGGACTCGAACCCGCACCCTTCGATATCCAGGCGAATGCACTGACCATTATGCTACCGCGGCCCTAATGGCCGTGTCAATTTTCTTAAGCATTTCTTAGGCTGCAAGGCTGCTTGGTCCGCGTGGATTTATTTCTAGTAAATTTTTTGTTTCTTAGGTTTTCACCCACACCACTCTTTAAATAAAACTAGTTTCAACGCTATGGTATCAGGCTGCGTCTGTCGTCATAATTCTGACGACGAAGCCTGAAAAGGATGCGAAACGTCATAAATAAATAAATCATCAAAAGGGGCGCGAGTCCGACACGCACTTGGCCGGTTTTTTTTCTAGTAAAATTATGCCTTTAGATTTAAGCATTATAATAATATATTTGCTTGCCTTTTGGGTATGAAAATGAGAGATGGCTGTTAAATCTCTAAATACGAATAACCACCATTTGAAGTGCTTTCATTAGATTAAAGATGTTACAGAGCCCGCGCGAATGCAAGTCCAGTATTTTATTAATTATGAAATAGCTGAGTGTAGTTAAGCACCGGACGTTTATTCCTGCATAGTTAATTGCTTGTACGGTTTGATGAGGCGTGTGTGTGGACTCTTTGCTCGGTCATTGTCGCTTGCACTTGATAGTTGATACACGGACCGGTTTAGGCAAGGTTACGCGGTTCGATAGCCACGCTACTCGGCAAAAAATTGGCAAACAAGGATTGTTTTAGTGAAAAAAAACCGCGCAAACACACTAGTGCGCGCTTGGAAATGCACTCGTGTGTAGTTTCTATTAAATTTGTTTTAGAAAAGGCATGATTCTATTAGTACTGCGGCGATCTACCCTTTATAAATGAAAACTTATTAGATTTTATATGTTATTTTATCTGAAATCAAGACGAATATAATAATTATAGCTTAACATATAACCGTATGCTGTGGTGCCTGATTTCTATCTCTTGGAATCTTCTCTCAAACGACAGAAGATTCCTAATTTAAAATCTTTTAAAATCATGACAGTGGTGCCGATTCTAGCGTGATTCTCTAAACTTATAACTAAATTTAACATCAGTCTCTCCTTTTCATTCTGTATAGAGAATGACAAAGATGCACTGTTGTCAAATTTAAGTTTAGCTTTAGAGAATCATGCCAGAATCGACATCATTACCTTTTTAATATGACCTCCAGCCGTAGGCATTACATGAACAGAGAGTTTACACAAACAAGGAGGCTGTAACGCAACGGACCTATAACACTAAGGAGTACATATTTTCACATACGGTTTGTTAGGATTTAAGAGAGATAGGGCACAGCGGATTTTCCGCTCGAATTGGAGCGCCCGGTAGGGTAAGCAACCACCACCTTGCAGAAGAACACAGCAAATATCACTACCTTTTGCTGGTGTTGTGTTTCTGCTGATGAGTAGGGTTCCAGGGCTCTGCGGGGTAGGAGATTGGATTCAGGCGGGCAAGGTCCCCGCCTTGACTTTCTGCCGCATCATTTTATCTTCGCGACTGGACTGCACTTACACTTAACATCAAGAAGAGCGGGGTAATTTGTTGCTGCTAGTTTTGAAAAAAAAAAAATTTTTTTTGCAGAATAGGTTATTTTGACAGTATTAAAAATAAAGTGTCAATTGTTAGCATCTGTATTTAGAATGAATATTGGCAGGAGTTTTTACTATTTTTACAGAAAAATATTCATAATTTTACTAAAAACCCACGATAAAGATAATAGTTTTCTTGTCTTTTGTCACGTGACCCAAAACGCTTGGGATTGGTGGAACCTAAAATGACGTTACACGCAAGTTAACTTCCGGTTAAAGTAACATTATATTGTTTGGTTTGACGTTTTAATGACAGTCGT